TTTTCTGTGGCACTTCACTGAATTTAAAACAAATTCCTTATATTAGTGGCAAGTAGCTGTCATTTGAAGATCTATCTTTCTGTAAGTAAAAGAACTAAGAGGATCCTGAAAAGGAAATGTGAAATGGCTGTTTTAGGTTTTGTTTCTTTTTAACCATGGGAGTCCATGGGTATATGTGCTTGTTTGTCATTGTCTTTTTTTTTTTTTTTAAAGATTTTTATTCATGTGTGTGAAAGGCAGTGTTACAGAGAGGGAGAGACAGAGAAAGAGAGGGTCTTCCATGCGCTGGTTCATTCACCAAATGGCTGCAATGGCCGGAGCTGTGCTACTCTGAAGCCAGGAGCCAAGAGCTTGCTCCAGGTCTTCCACATGGGTGCAGGGGCCCAAGCACCTGGTCCATCCTCTACTGCTTTTCTAGGCCACAGCAGAGTGCTGGATCACAAGTGGAGCAGCTGGGACTCGAACCAGCACCCATATTTTTATCATCTCTTAACATCCTGCAGAAATGGGAGGAGGGTATTTTGTACTCATAATACCATCTGTATCTCACTTGGATAGATTATTTCAGTCCATTAAGGTCTTCATGAATCTTTGAGAATGAGACTTTTGTTGTCATTTGGTAATGTTTAGCCAGATAATACTTTTTTGTCTGAAGGAAACTTGTGAGTATTCAACTATACTTCCCGAGTATTGAGCTATTACACAGGAGATTGTGATCTTTGCAGAAATTCACTGATTTCCCTTTAACTCACAGTGCAAACATTCTCAACAATGAAAAGAGCAGTGAAGTGGCAGTCAGGAGATTGGATGCTAGACTGATTTAATTCTTGCTGAGTATTCAATATTGTATTTATTCATGGAAAGGTAGATTGTTACTAGCTTGTTTGTAGTTTTTTTAATTTCAAAAAGATACTTCCTTTTTGATTCTATATAGCTCATAGAGACAAGAAAAAAATAGCATCTGTTTTAAAAATTGTCCTTTTTTGTTTTTTAAATATTTATTTGAAAGAGTTACACAGAGAGAGGAGGAGAGAAACAGAGTTCTTCCATTCGCTGGTTCACTCCCCAGTTGGCTGCAACAGCCAGAGCTGCGCAGATCTGAAACCAGGGGCCAGGAGCTTCTTCTGGGTCTCCCACATGGGTGCAGGGGCCTAAGGACTTGGGCCATCTTTTACTGCTTTCCCAGGACACAGCAGAGAGCTGGATGGGAAACGGAGCAGCTGGGACTAGAAGCGGTGCCCATATGGGATGCTGGCACAGTGGCTTTACCTGCTACACCACAGCACTGGCCCCTAAAAATTGTTTTTAAGTTACATATCACATTTTCTAAACTTTCTCAGTTGATCCCATTTGACCCTACCTTTTGTTCACTATCTCTGGTATTTGTTTTTTAAAAGAATTGTGATTTTCCCTCTTAACAGATTATAATTTTTAAAAGTAACTGAACCTCTTTTTCAGTGGATGTTCAGTATATAGAGTGTCAGGCCTAGCACTTGATTAATTAATGTTTGTTTGGTTAGTACTTTCAAGTCTGGATATCTGCTGTGAATGCCATGTGTGAATTAAAAGAAGTTGATGTTAGCTAGCTATATATGGTATATTCACATATATGGAGAAACTGGGCAGGTAATCAGTAGTTATTCTGGGAGTTAAATATGTCATCTTTTTTTCTCAGGAACTATCTGCTTTCTTCTTCAGAGGATGGAACTGTCCGATTGTGGAGCCTTCAAACATTTACTTGTTTGGTAGGATATAAAGGACACAACTACCCAGTATGGGACACACAGTTTTCTCCATATGGATATTATTTTGTGTCAGGGGGTCACGACCGAGTAGCTCGGTAAGAATGTCATGATCTTATGACTGGGTCTGTTCAAGCAATATAGAATGGTCTTGTTGGGAGTTACTTTGACTATTCAGGACCAACTTTTTGAGAATATGAGACAGGAGTATTACTATATCTACACTATTACACATGCACTGAAGTTTGTTTTTTGTTATTAACATAGTTCTTCCATCTCACCAGGTGTCGTCTTTTTTTCATTATCGTGAGCACCTTTGTTTCTGTCATGTCCTTAAAAATTTAGGGAAAGGTAGCTCAGGTTAGACACTAATTATGAGGTGGCCAAAACTAAGGTACTAGGGGAAAATGCTTTTCTGAAGTCTAGACTAGGAGACAGCTAAATGTTACAGAAGTTAGCAGCTTTATTCCCGATCAACTTTATCTTGTTATTTTGAATTATTCTGTTTTCTCTTAGTTAACTGGTGAGGGGGACCAATTTGGAATTATTTTACATGGATGTTTGCTTATTCTGGATAGGATTTTGGTATTCCATAGTTTGCTAATTGTCTTTTGCTTTCAAAATCTTTTTAAAAAGGCTGTGGGCTACAGACCACTATCAACCTCTAAGGATATTTGCTGGCCATCTTGCTGATGTGAATTGTACCAGATTCCATCCAAATTCTAATTACGTTGCTACGGGTTCTGCAGACAGAACTGTGCGGCTCTGGGATGTCTTAAACGGTAACTGTGTAAGGATCTTCACTGGACACAAGGTATTTTATATTCATGATTTCAGCACACAAGGGTGTTTTCAAGAGAAAAGCCTTTTTATTTTATTTTATTTTTTTTAAGATTTACTTATTTGAAAGGCGGGGGGTTGGGGGAGGGAGAGAGAGAAAGAGAGGTGTCTTAATCTGTTGGTTCACTCCCCAAATGGTTGCAGTGGCCGGAGCTGAGCTGAGCTGAAGCCAGGAGCTAGAAGCTTCTTCCAGGTCTCTCACGTGGGTGCAGGAGCTTAAAGACTTGAGCCATCCTCCACTGCTTTCTCAGGCCATAGCAGAGAGCTGAACGGGAAGTGGAGCAGCCAGGACTCGAACTGGCACCCGTATGGGATGCTGGCACCGCAAGCAGCAGCTCTTTACGTACTATGCCTCAGTGCCAGCCCCGAAAAACCTATTTTTAAAAATGTTTATTTTTCATTGACTTGAAAGGCAGAGTGCCAATTTCCCATCCACTGGTTCACTCACCAAATGTCCACTACAGCCAGGGCTGGATCATGCCAAAGCCAGAAACCTGGAACTCCTATCTGTCTTCCCCACATAGGTGGCAGGGACCCAAGTACTTGGGTCATCTGCTGCCTTTCCAGGTACATTAGCATGAAGCTGGATCGTAAGCAGAGAGGTGCTCTGATAGGGAATGCAGGTGTCCCAAGCAAGGGCTTAACCTTGTGCCATAAAATGCATACCTCCAGTTTTTCAAAGTTATTTGAAAGGCTGAGCAGGGACAGAGACAGAGCTAGCCCCTATCTGCCGGTTTACTTCCCAAGCGCTAACAGCCAGGGGTAAGCCAGACAGAAGGCAGGAGCTCCATCTGGGTTGCTCATGTGGGTGTCAGGAACTCAAGTCCTTTGACCAGCACCTGCTTCCTCCCAAGCCCATTAGTAGGAAGCTACATTGGACATGTGGAACAGCTGGAACTTGAATTAGCCACTCTCATGGGATCCTGGCTTAACCAACTGCACAACAATGCCCACTGCTAAAAAAGTGATACATTTTCAAGATCCTATTCATACCATTAAACTTAAAAAATTTTTTAAAAAATATATTTAACCTTTTATCTTTTCCATGGGCTTATTTTCTAGGGACCAATTCATTCCTTGACATTTTCTCCCAATGGGAGATTCCTGGCTACAGGAGCAACAGATGGCAGAGTACTCCTTTGGGATATTGGACATGGCTTGATGGTTGGAGAATTAAAAGGCCACACTGATACAGTCTGTTCACTTAGGTTCAGTAGAGATGGTGAAATTTTGGCATCAGGTAAATGATTGTTATTGGCTTTGTGATAAATGCCTAATTTTTCATCATAATTATAGAGTGAATGCATGAAGTATACTTGACAAAATGTCAGAATCTAAATGTGATGGATGCAACTAATGGTTTCCTTGACTTTGCCTTAGGTTCAATGGACAATACAGTCCGGTTATGGGACGCTATCAAAGCATTTGAAGATTTAGAGACTGATGACTTTACTACAGCCACTGGGCATATAAATTTACCTGAGAATTCACAGGAGTTATTGCTGGGAACATATATGACCAAATCAACACCAGTTGTACACCTCCATTTTACTCGAAGAAACCTGGTTCTAGCTGCAGGAGCTTATAGTCCACAATAAACCATCGGTATTAAAGACCTTTTGGAAGCTACTGTTTGAAAAAGGGAGACTAAAAGCAAATACCTCAGTGATTATTTAAGCTACAAAGAATGTTTTTATCTATATGGATCTGGAAGTATGCTGCTTGGAAAATCTGAACAGGACAGTTCCACGTTTCTATAGCAACCACATTTAACTAATTTCCGTTAGTTGAATAGAGGTATTATGTTCGTGGAGAGGACATTTATGGTGCTTTGGATTGTGTGGAAACTATGCATTTTCTGTTCAAATGTTAATTTATTATTAGAAGAAATCGATTTCAATAATACATTCTGCTTCAAGATTCAAACTAAGAAATATAAAATTAATAACATCTTGAATTTTAGCTGAAGAACTCTACGAGCATGTATGTTTCCGCTGTAAAAATGTAGTTACTGTATGGCACTCAAGTACTATGTTAAAAGACCCACTAACATTTGTTCTTGGTCTGTTGATTAGTGGAATGTATGTAACAGGGTAGAGATAGACTACAGTTCCTTTCTAAGATCTAGGTGTAATACAACCATCCACTGGCATCTGGATTTACACCTGTTGAGTTCTGAGTGCACCCAAACACTCTCTAAACCAGGTGAAGAAATTTAGCTTCCATGTTCTACTTCAGCTAAAACAGCTATGTACAACCTAGTACACTTGAAGTCAGACATTTCAGTTGCTTACCTCCAGTACTGAGCCTTGCATTGGAAAACTAAAAGATTTAGACCAAGTCACTGCCAGTTTTTGCCTTTGTTGCATTTTGTACAGTTTTTATATTTTTGATATCTTGTAAATAAAGACAACCAGCTTTTCCAGGTTCATAATTTATTGTACAAATTGAATTACCACATATTGAGTTGACATTAGCTTCTCCAGGCATGGGAACTTAACAGATGTGGTACAATTTATAATCCTATAAACAAAACAAAAATAGATTAGATACAAACATGTTCAACTCTTAAGACTTCAGTGATTACTAGGATAATGACTATGCATCCCCAGAAATTGAATTCTGTAATACTTAAAATAACATTTTAAATAGCAGAAAATAAATAGGTATCTGTTATTTAACATTTGAGATACAATTTCTCCTTGTCTGTGGGGCTACTATCTATCCCCCCAAATTAGGAGATCCCTGATGGGGAAATTGGGCAAACTACAGTCCTCTAAGATGGCCTCAATATGGGAAAAGCTCTTTAGAAGAAAAATTTCTGTGAGATAGTGCTACGTAGATAAAGACCTGGATTTTCCATTTACTTGCCAATGTGACAGATGTACACAGTCATTTCAATACAAGCTTCTGAGCAAACGAGGGTTAGGAGGATTTTTAAAGACTAAAGATTAAAAATTGACAAACTACCAAAATCCAACAATACTAACAAATGCAATAAGTTGATTAATAATTATTACATAAAGACCTTATGCAATTCACCAAATTGTTAAATGAGAACACGACAGGATGTTAAGAAAAAAAAGATGGTAAATGGGGAGGAAAATCCCTCAGCAAAAAGCAAGAGACAATTTTTTACTCAGCAAATGTGCAAGAAACAGAAGCTGTTATTCCACAATGGGTCAAAAGACATTATCCCCCTCCTTACAAATCTGGGTGCCCCAACAATCCTTTGGGAAGGCACTTTAAGCTAAGAAAGTATTCATAGATATAGATTGTCCTTCATGCTCCAAAACAATTGTATTTAAAGATTCTAATGGGAGGCCGGCGCCGCGGCTCACTAGGCTAATCCTCTGCCTTGCGGCGCCAGCACACCGGGTTCTAGTCCGGGTCGGGGCGCCGGATTCTGTCCTCTTCCAGGCCAGCTCTCTGCTGTGGCCAGGGAGTTCAGTGGAGGATGGCCCAAGTGCTTGGGCCCTGCATCCCATGGGAGACCAGGAGAAGCACCTGGCTCCTGCCTTCGGATCAGCGCGGTGCGCCGGCCACAGCAGCCATTGGAGGGTAAACCAACGGCAAAGGAAGACCTTTCTCTCTCTCTCTCTCTCTACTCTGCCTGTCCAAAAAAAAAAATCTAATGGGAGACAGGTTTCTTCTGTGAAATGATTCATATAGCCACATTTGCACATTGAAATTATATACAATAAATTTTGCAAAACAACGAGTTTACTATGACAGTGGAGGAAAAAACTCTTAATAGCAAATGGCTAAAGTGTAAACATGTAAATGTCAACTTCTTACCATTTATGTTGCTTTCACAGCTGGAGTTTTTTTAGACCTTAACTTGAAGTATAAGACCAGCAAAGCAATGCCTCCATATGTAGCCAGTACACACTGAAAAAAATTAAATGGCAAGAGTTACCACACCTATACTAATTTAAAACATTAACTGCTTAAAAGTATCATTAATACTTACATTCATTCTTCCCGTGAGAGTGTAAGAGTTGAAATATTTTTTAATACCAGTGAACTGGAATTGAGCATCAGTTTCTGGACCTGCCATGATTTCAATCTTTAAAAAAAAAAAGCAACAAAAAATTAGTTCGGAGGCAATTTTACAAGTTTAAAAGCTAAGTCATTGCAGATAAATATAGTAAATTTTTACTTCTGTTTCACCCAACAAAGCAGCACAGATGGTGGGAAAAGCCGCACTTATGACAGAAGCTTTGAAAAGTAAAACATTCTTGGCTGCTATTTTACAAACATTCCAGGATTAATATGTTCTCATTTAAGTATGAAGAACTGTGTAGCAATCACTAAGTTCACCTTTTGACCTTGTATAGCTGGGCATAAGTTTGTTTTTTTTTTTTTAAACTTTCTTTTTTTATTTTTTGACAGGCAGAGTGGACAGTGAGAGAGAGAAAGGTCTTCCTTTGCCGTTGGTTCACCCTCCAATGGCTGCCGCGGCCGGCGCACTGCGCTGATCCGAAGGCAGGAGCCAGGTACTCATCCTGGTCTCCCATGGGGTGCAGGGCCCAAGCACTTGGGCCATCCTCCACTGCACTCCCTGGCCACAGCAGAGAGCTGGCCTGGAAGAGGGGCAACCGGGACAGAATCCGGCGCCCCGACCCGGACTAGAACCCGGTGTGCTGGCGCCGCAAGGCGGAGGATTAGCCTAGTGAGCCGCGGCGCCGGCTTTGGGCATAAGTTTTGATTCCTGGTTCCATCCATACTATTGAATACTGAATTAATTAATTTTAAGACTAGTTGAAACTTTTTCAGGGGTAACCATCAACTAAAGAACTCAACCCACAATACCTACTAAACTACTAACCACTACTAAAGAGTTTTTTTGGTTTTACATATAAGGCTCCCATGGGAGTACTGAGAAGGGACCATTTACTAAATGGAGTCAATAGCCATTGGTGGTGGTAGTGAAAATGGAAAACTTACTCCCTACACCAAAATATATAAAAGATCTAAGTGTACATGCTGAAACGAAAATTCCTGGAAGAAAACATGGGCAAATATTTCAATCATCTTACGAATGGGAAAATCTAAAGAATGTGCCAAAAACATAAAAGGATAATAATCAATAGGCAAAGAAATGGGAAATAAGAACAATATTTAACCATCAAAATGGAAAAGATAAAATGACCATAAGTAGTATTAAGAATGTAGGAAATGGCCGGCGCCGCGGCTCACTTGGCTAATCCTCTGCCTGCGGCGCCAGCACCCCGGATTCTGGTCCCGGTTGGGGCACCAGGTTCTGTCCCAGTTGCCCTTCTTCCAGTCCAGCTCTCTGCTGTGGCCCGGGAAGGCAGTGGAGGATGGCCCTGCTTGGGCCCTGCACCCGCATGGGAGACCAGGAGAAGCACCTTGCTCCTGGCTTCGGATCAGTGCAGCACACCAACTTTAGCGGCCATTTGGGGGGTGAACCAACGGAGAGGAGGGCTTTTCTCTTTCTCACTAACTCTGCCTGTCAAAAAAATAAATAAAAAAGAATGTGGAAAAATAAGCATTCTATGAGTTTGGCATATAAACTGGTATAACTTCCCTAAAGTACAATTTGGCAGTATCTATGTATAAAACAAGTATACCCTTATCTCCAGGAATGTACCCTTATAGAAATATTACAAAGCGAAAACACATTATAGAGTTCAAGGATGACCACTGAAACACTTTATCAAAGTGAAAAACTATTGGAGGAAATAGAATGTGCATAGATGTTTGTGTTCTAACATGGAAAGAGGCCTCCAAGTAATGCTAAATATTAAAGATATCCTACTTCTGGATATTATATTATGGGATTTATCAATGGTTCTCAAAGTCTCCTTGTCCAGGAGCATCAGCATCACTAAAAACTGGTTGGAAATGCACATTCTCAGACACCATAAACCCTACCAAAAAAGAAACTCTGAATCCAAGCAATCTGTTTTAATAAAGCTTCTAGGTAATACTGATGCACATTAAAATTTGGAAAAAAAACTTCAGTATTGGAAACAACAGATACTTAAAAATCGTATAGAAAAAACACTTTGCAAAAATATTTAAGATCTTTAAAAGGGGTCACCTGTGTATTTTATAAAGGTATGCACTTTTAATAAGAAATGGCAAAAAATAATGAAAAGGCCACCAGAATAACAGTTGGAAATTCGTATGTGTGACCACCTATCTACCACGACCGACGCCACGCCGAGTCGATTGGCAACACAGACGAGCCGGTCGAGGTCCGGTCGAGATTGGTAGGCAGTGGCAGTGACTCAGCTGGCTCTTGATGAAATGGAAGAGGGAGAGAGCTGAGAGTTGTTGCTATGGAAACTGGTGTGCCCCGTTTACCATTCAAAAGCCTTCAGGGGCATTCATGTGAAAAGAATTGGCAAGGAAAATCTGAGACAAAGGACCTTAATTTTGAACACCATTTCTTGGACCAGCAAAGGAAATCCATTCTTGGGCCCTTTCAGAGGTCTTGGCCAGTCTAGCCCAAGTTATGAAAATCCCCATTAAAAGAAATCTTTATGTTGTAGTTTTTACAAAAATGGTTTTATTTACTGAACTTATTAAAGGCATACTTTTCCCCCTATTTCACGGTTTACTTGTGGATTCTTAGGATCATGAAGTATGCTTCTATGAGGAATTCTACAGCAATACAAGGGCTTAACTTTGTCACGTCATAAAGTGGTAACTTCTACTGCCTTCCATCTGACAAAACTCTTTGGAAGGATGTGGTGTTCAAGTCAAGCTTTGCGTGTGTGTGTATATATATGTATATATATGTACCTATATATGTACCTATATATGTATATATATATGTACACACACACACACGCACATTTTTAACTTTGAAAAGCAGGAGAAGGCAACAGAAAGCTGCCATCAGCTGGTTCATTCCCCCAATGGCTAAAACTGCCAGGCCTGGTTCAAGCTGCAACCAAGAGCCTGCAGCTCCATCTGAGTCTTCCGGGTGGGTGGCAAGGGTCCAAGCACTTAGGCCATCATCTGCTGCCTTCCCAGGAGCATTAGCAGGGAGCTAGATTGGAAATGGAGCAACCAGGATGCCAAGTGGCACTCCAGTATGAGAGGACGGAGTCACAAGCAGCAGCGCAACCCGCTATGACAACTGTGGCCCCAAATCAAACAAGAGCAAAGTGCTTTAAATTTTGCACTAATTTACAGAAAATAAGAGGAAGGTCGATGTTTGAGAAATTCCATAGAAGGCTAATTCTCACTGCAGGAAAGGATATGGTATAGGAACCGGAATTTAGTCTGGGTCTTCAAGGAGGACTCCGGAGAGGCTGAGAGGAAGGGGAGTGGGAACCTTTCCAGCGAGATAAAGTTTGAAATCACGCGGATCCGCACCTTTCAGCAAACTGCAGGCTACTTGATGGTATCAGGAATCCTTGTGTTGTGGAATAACCGAACTGAAATTCGCTTCCCTTTATGTCACATTAAATTTACAGGCATACTCATGGGGGAAAAAAATCACCCACGCCCATAACTGATTTAATATCGAAGGGTAGCCTGTAAGAAATTATAGCGAGTAGGGCCTTCGCTTCTGATTGCTCCGAGAACTGCTACGGAACCTAACTCATCTCTCCACGTCCCTCTCTGCACCTGTGAAAGGGCCCACGGTGAGCAGGTGCCTTTGCTGCTTTCTCTGCTCCTCGACACTGCTATTCTGTCTCAACAGGTCAGCCCCCTGCAATGGGGAGACCGCGAGGCAGAGCAACAGGCAAAGACGAGGGCGGGCCGCTCAGCCACCACGAGCAGCCTCTTCAAGGCCTCTGTTCCGTTCCAGGCACCTCCAGGAACGGCCCCCGTCCAGCTGGCTGTGCGGACCGAGACCAAACGCTCGCCGCCGCGCGGCTACAGCAAGCCTGGCTGGCCAGCTTCCTAAGCAAGGCTCAATTCAAACAACTAAGGCCACACGGAGGAAAAGAAGTGAATTCGGCCACGTACGGGTCCAAGTCCTCGGCCTCGTCACTGCGTGACCTTGGGGGACCCTTTCGCCGCAGGCCTCCTCTTTCTCCACTAGGAAACGCAACCTAAGGAAAACGGCGAGAGCCTTGGAAGCGTCTGTCCGCCTCGCCCCGAGGTTTCTCAGACACTGCCCGCACTCTCACCCTCCAAACCCTATTTTCTCCATCGGCCACGGCTGTCACCCCGCAGCCACGTCAGAAAGAAGCAATGGTCAGCTTCCAGGCCAGGACCGCAAACCGGGGGCCAGAGGTCCGAGCCAGAGTTCCCTTCCTCACCCACCTTACCGAAGCCTCAAATTCCGCAGCCGACGTCCTTCAACACACACAGAACCCTCTGCCCGGCCGGAAGAACCCTCCTCCCTAGCACGCGTTCAACAGGCCAAAGAGAGTCCGCCCTCTGCGTCGATTGGCTACGGCTTCAAGTCCCGCCCTTCCGCTTCCTGTCTTCGTCTCGCTTCTTCGGCTCTCTTTAGTAACGGAAGTAGAGTGTTGAGCCCGCCCACGCCTCCGGAAGTGTAGTATTGAGTGTGGCGATATCCCGGTCTCCTCGTGTGTACTTACAGCGGCACGGCCCCGGAGCTGGAGGTGCTGCTGCCGCGCCGGTCAGGTGAGGGAGGGCTGAGGCGGGAAGGGAGGAGACTTCATGGCTCTCAGGTCGGCCCCCAAGTTGGGTGCCTCTGATCTCTGCTTAGCGCTCGCCGTGTGGAAACAGTGGTTTGGTACCCTGAGCCTCGCTGCGAATCTGATTCCGCTGAAGGGCCCCCTGGAAACCCAGGCTCTACCCTCGGGAACTAACCCCAGTGCCTTCTCTGCCCCTGATTCGCCTTACTATTTGGAACCTCAGTTTCCCTTCTTGAGAAAGGAAATGAAGGGTCAAGTTCCCTGCGGACTTGGCGTTCCTGTTTCTGTGAGTCTTAACACCCATTCCTGGTTCCAAACCCTAGGTCATCACCTCGTACAGTCTGAGGCCCTTCTAGATTCTTATTCTAAGAACGAACCTTTCCTACGTGACGTTCTCACTAGTATCCATTTCTGGGTCTGGTGGTTTCTCTGCTGTGTTGCATTGGAGCCCTTCTACCTGATTTATTTGCCTTCATTCCTCTATCTTTTTGTCTAGTGCAGTCTGCAGTAGCCTGCAGTGTGCAAATACGTATATATTTTTCTTGTTACTATTTTGACACATTCGTTGCTTGAGATTCTAAGTTCATAAAAAAAATATGAACTTACTCTTATCTAATTCAGGACCTTTCACAAAAAAGCACAACCTGTCTCTTAAAATTTAACTCCAGCTTATGATGCTTCATTCTTCACATAATTGGTTGAACAGTTTTTCAAAGAAGAGCAACAGTAAGCCTTTGCGTGTTTGATATACAAATTATTGGTATTTATTGAAATAACAGACTTTTCCTGTTTCCATGCCTTTTCTCATATTTCTTTCTGATGCATCAAACTCCCATTCTAGGGGCCGGCCTTGTGCCAGAGTGGGTTAAGCAGTTGCTTGTGGTGCCAGCCTCCCATCTTGGTGCTGATTTAGTGTGCTGGCTGCTCCATGTTCAACCCAGCTCCCTGCTGATGTGCTGGGAAGCAGCGGAGGATGGCCCAAGTGCTTGGGCCCGCACCCACATCCCACATGGGAGACCAGGAGGAAGCTCTTGATTCCTGGCTTCAGCTCGGGCCAGTCCCGGCTGTTGTGGCCATTTGGGGAATGAACCAGGCTGAAAGATCTTTTTCTTTGTTTCTCTCTCTCAGTAACTCGGCTGGCTGGATGGATGGATGGATAGATAGAACGATAGAAAGAAAGAGAGAGAGAACTTTACCATTCCATCTGTCACACTCTTTTTTTTTTAACATTGAGCTCAAAAGCATTTTTTTAAATGATGCTTTTTCTCCTTTACTGGAGCTCTATCACTACCTGCCTCTTTGTTGATAATTTACAATCCATTCTGTGTTAAAACAAATGTTTCATTTACTTGAAAGGCAGAGTGACAGAGAGAGATCTTTCATTCTCTGGTTCACTCCCCAAATGCCCTCAAAAGCCAGGGTTGGGGCAGGCTGAAGTCAGGAGCCAGGAATTTCATGTGGGTCTCCTGTGTGGTTGGCAGGGGCCCAAGCACTTGAACCATCATCTCCTGCCTCCCAGGATTCATTATTAGGAAACTGGATCAGAAACAGAATACCTGGGACTTGAACCAGTACTCTAATGAGGGAGCCCCAAAGCAGTGTGTTAACTTGCTGCACCACAACACTTGCCCCTCATTTTATATTTTATGTTAGTTGCATAATTGTATTGTCTTCTAAAAAGTACATGTGTCTGAGCCAGCGCTGCGGCTCACTTGGCTAGTCCTCCGCCTGCGGTGCCGGCACACCAGGTTCTAGTCCTGATTGGGGTGCCGGATTCTGTCTCAGTTGCTCCTCTTCCAGGCCAGCTCTCTGCTGTGGCCCGGGAAGGCAGTGGAGGATGGGCCAAGTGCTTGGGCCCTGCACCCGCATGGGAGACCAGGAGAAAGCACCTGGCTCCTGGCTTTGGATCGGCGCAGCGCACCGGCCGTAGCGGCCATTTGGGGGGTGAACCAACGGAAGGAAGACCCATCTCTCTGTCTCTCTCTCTCACTGTCTAACTCTGCCTGTCAAAAAAAAAAAAAAAAAAAGTGCATGTGTCTGGGCCTTTGTTATGACATAGCAGGTAAAGCTGCTGCCCTGCAACACTGGCATCCCATAGGGGTGCTGGTTTGAATCCTGGCTGCTCTTCTGATCCAGCTCCCTGCTAATGTGTCTGGGAAAGCAGCAGAAGATCGCCCAAGTCCTTGGGCCCCTGCACCCACATGGGAGACCCGGAAGAAGCTCCTGGCTCCTGATCTCAGCCTGGCCCAGCCCTGGCTGCTGTGGCCATTTGGGGAGTGAACCAGCATATGAAAGATCTCTCTCCATCTCTCCCTTTCTCTCTGTAACTCTGCCTTTCAAATAAATAAAGTAAATCTTTAAAAAGAAAAAAAAAAGGAGGCCAGCGCCGTGGCTCACTAGGCTAATCCTCCGCCTCGCAGCACCGGCACACCGGGTTCTAGTCCCGGTCGGGGCACTGGATTCTGTCCTGGTTGCCCCTCTTCCAGGCCAGCCCTCTGCTGTGGCCCGGGAGTGCAGTGGAGGATGGCCCAGGTGCTTGGGCCCTGCACCCCATGGGAGACCAGGAAAAGCACCTGGCTCCTGCCATCGGGTCAGCGCAGTGCACCGGCCGCAGCGTGCCGGCCATGGTGGCTATTGGAGGGTGAACCAACGGCAAAAGGAAGACCTTTGTCTCTGTCTCTCTCTCTCACTTTCCACTCTGCCTGTCAAAAAAATAAATAAATAAATAAAAAGGAAAAAAAAAGGGTATGTGTTCTTTGAAGGTAGGAGGTTGTTTATTCTTTTGTGTGCCTCTTACCTAACTAACAGCTGCTTAGTATTTACTACCTTAAATCTTTAACTTCCTTTCCTGGAGGAAGGTATGTGATTTTGAAGCACAGAATGTTGAAAAGATGAAGCATCCAGATCCTGACATCTGAACTGTCGAGGACATTGTCCTGAATGTTGTCTAGCGCAATGCTAGAGGTGACAGCTCTTGCCCACTGATAACCACCTTAACAAAATCTACCTTCAGCGCTACATCTCACCATTCTTCCTCTTCTCTCTCTCTCTCTTTTTTTATTATTTGAGGTGCCGTAGGGCGGGAAGGGCTTATTTATTTGAAAGGCAGAGTTACAGAGAGGCAGAGAGAGAGAAAAATCTCCCATGTGCTGGGTCACTCCCTGATGGCCACAATGGCTGGAGCTGTGCCAATCTGAAGTCTGGAGCCAGGAGCTTCTTCTGGGTCTCTCATGCGGATGCAGGGGCCCAAGGACTTGAGCCATCTTCTACTGTTTCCCCAGGCCATAGCAGAGAGCCGGGACCCGAACCAGTGCCCCTATGGTATGCTGGCACTGCAGGCAGCGCCTTTACCCACTACACCACAGCACTAGACCTCACCATTCTTTATATTGTTTTTAGGAGCCCAAACATGGCAACACTGGAAGAAAGCTTCCCTCGAGGGGGTACAAGAAAGAAATCAGATCACAAATCAGAGAAATCTTTCCCGCAGTCAGTTGAACAAGACAACTTATTTGATGTAAGTGGTATGCTTGTTTAGTGAGACTCACCGGAAGCTTTCTAGTGTCTTTTCTGTGAACGTTGAGCCTTGTTTGAAAACATGTTATTTTCCACATTTATTTCCTGTTCAAGTCTACTGGATATTGAACTTGTTAGAGAGGCTTTACTACCAACAAGGCTACATTTTTTAAAATGTGGCATTTAGATTGAAGTTTGAAGTGCTCTATGTTGTATAATGTTTTTTTCCAGCTATGCTGTGAAGTAGAGATTGCAGTTCTGTGATGAGGACCTGAGGGGCAGAGAGGTTATATAATTTAGCTGAAATCCTGTGGCTTGTTAAAAGGGGAGTTGGGGATTTAACTTGGATCTCTAACTCCAGCCTCCAGTTTAATGCACTGTTTCACATTGCTTCTCAAGCCTTGGAACTCCAGGGTCCATCCGTCAGGGGACAAATAACACGGAAGAGGAGAGACTTTGGGAACACGAAGGAGGTTTCTCAGACCTTGGGCAAAGGGCGCATTAGTGACTGAATGGAAGAATTGGAATTGAAGTAGGAATTAAAGGAACAGTTAAGAATGTTGAGTGGGGTGGAGTGGAGGAGTAACAAAGCAAGGTGTAGATGTTTCCAGTGGGAAGACTAGGATTTGCTACTTTGTTTTTTTTTTTTTAATCTTTGTTGGTCTTTTTTTCTCCTTTAGATTTCCACTGAAGAAGAATCCACCAAAAGGAAAAAGAGCCAGAAAGGGCCAGCAAAAACAAAAAAGTTGAAAAGTGAAGAGAGAGAAAGGAGCAAGTCTGTAAGAGAGAAGTTTGAAATCCTTAGTGTTGAGGTTTGTTGAAATTTAGTTTTCCTTTGAACAAACGATCTTGTTTCTTTTATTCTTTTCTCCCTTCATTCTTTTATGCCTTTTGTGTGTCTGTGGCTTCTCGCAGTTTGCCCTGAGAACTCAGCATTATTGATTACTCACCAATGCCTGAGTTCTCTAGGATGCTGTAGGCTTGCTTGTGGCCTCATGGGGCTTATGTTTCAGTCAGTTCAGAGATTAGAGCAGTCATTCTAGTACTACCCATTCATTTCATTGATGTGAAACTATCTCAGAGGAGTGAAATATATAGTCTTAATATGTTCCTTAAATTTCTTTTTAAGATTTATTTATTTTGAAAGTTAGAGAGAGATCTTCCATCTGTTAGTTTACTCCCCAGATGGCTGCAATGGCCAGCACTGGGCCAGGCTAAAGCCAGGGCCGCCCACATGGGTGGCAGGGGTCCAAGCCCTTGGGCGGTCTTCCACTGCTTTTCCTAGGCCATTAACAGGGAGCTGGATCTGAAGTAGAGCATCCAGGACACAGTATAGGCCCATATAGGATGCCAGCACCGCAGGTGGCAGCCTAACCTGTACCACAATGCTGGCTCCAAATTTTTAAAATTTATTTACTTATTAAAGATTTCTTTATTTGAAAGGCAGAGTGACACAGAGAGAGAGCCCTTCCATCCTGTGGCTCACTCTCTAAGTGCCTGTAATAGCTAGGGCTGGATTAGGCTGAAGCTAGGAGCCTGGGATTGCATCTGGGTGGCAGGGACTCAAGTACTTGAACTATCCTCTGCTGCCTACCAGGCATATTAGCAGGAAACAGGATTGGAAGTGGAGGTGGAATGCAAACGGAGGCACTTCTGAATGGGATGTGGGCATCCCAAGCAGTGTGTTACCACTACACCAAATGCCAGCCCAATCCTGTAGCTTTTATTTATTTATTTATTTTAT